GGAAGGTAAATGTGTCCCTGAGAAAGATGTCCTCTGCCATATGGGGGAATGACTCAGCATCAGGGTCCAGATGAGTGCCCTCTGAGATCTATTCCCCCAGCCAGCCCCCCTGGATTCTCCTCACACTGCTCTGGTCCACTCTGCCCTCCCTCTTCCGGAGCCCAGGGTGAGTGGCTGCACACAAAACGTCGTGCATAGGCCCTTTAAGGGGGTGCCTGCATTTCCAGCCGTCTCTCCCTGGCAGACAGAAACCTGGCTGCTTTTCACAGCCAGATGTTATGTGGGCCCCTGTCTCAGTTCTGGTGCTCTGGGCTGGGGAACCCAGCTTAGGGTTTAGGCCCCAGAGTCCTCAGTGGGAACCCCCTCAGCTGAGATCTCCCTCTGGACCTTCAGCTGCTGCCTGCGGGAGCCCAGCCAGGCCTCTCGGGTCCGCACTTCTTACCAGCCTCTGTGTGGCCTCCACTTTTCCTCCTTGGTTATGAGGGTGCTCTCCAGCTCGTCTTCAGTTGCAGTTGATTATTCAGGATGGTTTTTCTATATTTTAGTTGTACTTTCAGTTTGGTCCCGGGAGAGTGTCCATGTAGCTTCCACTCAGTCTGCCTCCATCTTGGGTCTTTCCAGCATTGGCTGATTTTAAACTGGCCCAGGGGACATCACTTATTGCTGAAGTGCAAAAAGATACACACATTCACTCTTCTGAGCTGCAGTGAGCCAGACTCTAGCACACCACTGGCCCTGCTGGATCCTCTGCATGTGTTAGAGCTGGTAATACAGGGCTTAAGTGAAGCCACGGGACTGGAGCATGTAGAAAAAAAGAGAAAACCAGTATTGGGGCATGTATCTGTATAAGGGAAGGGGAGTCAGGAAAAGAACACTGAGAGGCAGGAGAGGCAGAAGAGAACCAGATTCAGGCAACAAGAGAACTAGATTCAGGAAGGAAGGTGTGGTCAAGAGTGTCAAATACCAGAGATCAGGTGGCCTAAGCACTCAAAGGAGGTCATCAGCAGTACCAGTTAAGCGGGTCTTTTTTTTAAATATATAATGATAAAGAAATAAAAAGCACTTAGCCTCTCTTCTCTATTTTTTAAAAAAAATATATCTTTATTGATTTCAGAGAGAGGAAAGGAGAGGGAGAGAGAGAGATAGAAACATCAGTGATCAGAGAGTCATTGATTGAGCCCGCAAACTAGGCATGTGCCCTGACCAGGAATCGAACCTTGATCGCCTGGATCCTAGGTCGAAGCTCAACCGCTGAGCAACGCCCTTCTCTCTTTTTAAGGAGGTCATTAACGAGTTAGTACAGAACAGACTCAGTGGTGGGGGCAAGAGTTTCCCTGAAATGGGCTGGAGAGGGAATGAATGGAGGGAGTAGAGAGGAAATCTTTCCAGCAGTTTGGCTCTTAAAGGAAGGGAAGCGTGAAGGGAGGCAGGTTGGAAGGATGGCTTTTAAAAAGGAGTTAAAACTCACTGCTGAACTAGTAATTCAGGGCACTATATCTGTCTATAACCCAGACTAATTTGTTGATCCCAGTGACAAGCAGAACAAACATCTTGCTCAAGTCCAGAAGCAGTAATAGCTCTGTATTTTGTTTCGATGTCAATTGGCGTCACATCAGTACAGAAGGGGATTGCATTGATCCAATTAAATTGAATTTGTAGGTATTGAGAACTCATGCTATAAATGGTTTACTCCACAAATAATGGTGATTCCTCATTTTTTAAAATTTGAACATTGATTGCTTATTTGTTTATGTGACTAACCATGTATCAGAATTAAACTGACTCACATAAGAACTGTAGGTGTGTTTATTCTGCCTTATATGAAAGAAAGATTATCTATTATTTTTAATTTTTATTTTGAGGCACCTCTCACTCTCTAGGAATGCTAAAAAAGTCCAGCTATTGGCTCTTTTTAATTGTAACGAATTCAACTTGAAGTTATTTTTCGAACACTTTCTTTTTTGTTCGTCATTGACATCCTGTAATATTCTATTTTTTTCAGAGTTTCCAGGAACCAAACGGAATACATACCAACCAAAACTACATGTGTGGTCAAAGCATTTATATTTTAAACAATGTGTATGTGTATGTTTATGTAGACCAGTTAACAGATATTATATATCAAAGCAACCTCCAAGAAAGCCTTTTATGTAATCCCTAATTTAAAAGTCCCAATGGAATTATAAAATCAAGCTTCACTGTAGCCCCATGACTTCTAGCAGGGTCTCCAAGGTCACGGCTGCCTGAAGGGCAACTCTGTGATTAGAAAATGCCAGGGTCACCTCAGAACAGAACCTCCTGCCACCCTGGCTTTGTTTACAGAATCAGCTCCTCCAGAGCAACAGCAACAAAGAAGTGTCTTCCTACTCATTCGTAAAAGGTCACGTGGGGTAGAGACTTGGAGTTTTGGTGTCAGTGTTAGCAGGAATCTAAAGATTGGAGGAAAGTTCACTAAAGCACACTCAAGAACAAATCCACCTATGACATTCAAGGGAGAGAATTCACACTTGTAAACTTTCTCAAGGGACACATTCTCTTGGGCTCTAACTTTTGGAATTCACTATTTTTGTCATATGAATCTGTCACACTTGCAAAGTATGGGCTTGGTGTCATCAGACTTTTATGCCCCTGTATCACCTGGACAAATCACTTTTAGCCTCTTTGGGAGCTTGGGCTCTTTTATTGGTAGAAATCAATGAGACTCATAAACAGGTTTCAAACAGTAGAGTGTGTGCATGAATTTATTGTAGAGGTGACATCACAGGTTGTTCTTAGTTAAAAATGATCCAGTTTGGCTTTGAGGCCATTGACTTACATATTTAGAATCCATGGCTGTCCGCTCTCTGGGGCTTTCATCTTTTTCTTGGGCTCACCTTTTTAATCCAGCATCCTATATTTGTGTTATTTGTACAGGACTTACTATTGCTCATTCCCCAGTAGAGCAATCTAAGGGATTACTTTTAGTAGGGGGGCTCTTGGGGACTATAGCCTTCAAAATTCCAAAGGAATAATTTGGTGGTAGGATTTTAAGGACTGTGATAAGTGGGTGGGGGTAGGAGTGGGGGTGGTGCAGGGAATGGAGAATCAGGGAGACCTAATCACTCCCCAAAAATCACACTTGGACCAGTAACACCTCCTCCAGGAGTTTTCCTTTACATCTAGAGGGTCAGAGAGATTGCTTTTTACTTCTGATAGACCTGGAGTTTTAAGAGTTTGACATGGGGAAAACTTTACAGGCCATGGCTGGTACCTAAAATGATATTAATAGTCACCTAATAACATTCTCACGGTTTACAATGCCATTCTTTCAAGGAGCTTAAATGAACAAAATTCACTTTCAGAAAATCCTGGTGAGGCAGGGGGAGAATATACATTTTCTTCATTTTACAGATGAAGAAATGGAGGCAGAACATTGTGGATCAGGTGGTTCAGTCAAATTTGACCCCAGAACCCAGTCTCTTAGCCAGGGTTGTCCTTTGACCCAGGCAAGAGGGACCTCTCTCCTGCACCCTGAGCTTCAGAAGGCTTGGCCTTGGCCTTCTGCAAACTCCATCCCTTCCTAAGTGTGAGCAGTCTACAGGGCCAGGGCACCATGACACCTGAGTTCTGGAACCCCAGAATTACTTGACCTAAGGTCCTCAAGAGCACTTTCCAGGGTCTGCATGGGCCTCCTCACCGGCATATACACCTGAGCTCAAGTTGTGGCCTTGACTGTATGCAAGGAGGAAGCTTGTGCAGCTGGGGGTCCCCCTGCACACAGTGGAGGTTCTTCTGGAATATGATGGAGCTGGAAGTGGGAAAAGAAGGGGTCTGGGTCTGGCTCTCCCATTTCACCACATTCTTGCCAAAACTCAGGTCAAACTGTGAGGAGTCTGAACGTGAACCTGGCCTTCCAGGTTGCTTCCAATATATCTTTGTCAAGGTAGGAGACATTTATTTTTCAGTTTGTTGGCTAGATTTATGACTTCAACATTTAGACCTAAGTATGTGGGTCTCCATTTGAAATCTTGTCTCTGTCCCTCCAATGTTATGGATGGTCTTCCTCCTGACTGTCAAAGCCAAAGCTAGAGGAAGAAGCTGGAGATCTGGGATGGTTGTATTAATTTTACGTGAATGCGACTCTAGCTGCACTTGGCAAATCTACAGAAGCCAAAATACAAGCCTTGTGTATTTGTCACTGGGAACAGACAAATACATTGAAAATAAAAGGGGGCTGGTCCACATGGTTCTGTCATTTGGGCTTCCCTCCTACCCTCAGTTTATGAAGAGCAGCAAGACTCTGTTTATTGGCCCTTCCAGGGACCTGGGAGGCCCAGGCTGGGAATCCCAAAGGCAATAGGTTGCCTATTAAATACCAAAGTCAGGGTTAGTGGTGGAAAAAAATAAATAAAACAACCAGCCAATTATCCGGAGGGCTGTCCGCTCTCCTCCACACCCTAAACATCTGAAAGGAAAGAAAGACTAAAGGGTTGGCGTCGGGATGGTTTTCAGCCTCGCGTTCCCAGCCACCGAGTAAAGTAACAAACAAAGGGGGAAAAAGCAGTTCGGGGGAAGCGATTTCCACGAGCGCCGCCGCCGCCAGGAACGCGGAGAGAGACAGCCTCCCGTGCGGTCCCCAGCCCCGCGTTTCCCGCTCGTCCTAGGCTTCCAGGCGCGGGCGCGGGCGCGGGCGGGGCGCGCAGACCCAGGACCCGGCGACGCGGGCAGCGCCCCCCAGCCCCCACCTTTGGTCCGCAGCCTCCGGGGAGCTGCGGGACATCGCCGGCTTAAGGGGCGGGGCGCGGCTCCACGTGCTTTCTGCGGAGTGACTGAGCTACGAAAACAAATGCGGGCGAGGAGGGCGGGGAGGGAGCGGGAGGGAACAGGCTCTGACCGATAGTAACCCCGCGCCCGGCGCCGGCGAATCTATAAAAGGAACTAGTCGCGGCACAAGCCGGGTAATTCTGCGGGAGGCCGAGCGCGCCGGGACCCGCGGAGCAGAGCCGACGCCGCTGTCCCCGCGCAGGTGGGCCAGGGCCCCCGGAGCAGCTTCTCGGGGCGCTTCGCTCCTGGTTCTTTCTCTTATCCCTCCCTTCTCCGGAAGGGTTTTTCAAGGAGTGGGGAAAGGAAACGAAAACCCCCAAAGTGGAAACCAGGTAAGAGGCTCTCCCGTGACTTAGGGGTTCTTGTTTTGTTTCGGGGCTGCGGAGGCTTTGGGAAGCGCTAGGTTTCGGGGACTTTAGTCCGGACCCCCACACGCCCACCTCTCGGTGCGGGGTAGCGTAACCGCGGGGAGGTCGTCCTAGGACGGGCTCAGGCGACCCAAAGATGCGGCGCTGCCGCTCCGGGCTCGCCCTGCGGCGGAGCCCGGAGCATCCCTGGGAGTGGAGACCCGCGCGCAGGTCCCCGGGCGCAGCGGGCTGGGGGGCTCCTGGTCGTGTCGGGGCACTGCTGCCGGAGTGCGGAGAGTGGCAGGTCCTGCGCCGAGCGCGTCCCTTTGTTTGGAAGCGCCTGAGCCGGCCAGGACCCCCCTGGCCGCGGGTCTGCAGGCGCCCCGGGATGAACGCCTGCCCTCACTCCCCAGTCCGTTCTTCAGAAGCTGCTCCGGGCTCTGACCTGGGGACCGCCCCGTGCGCCCTCGGACGGGACCGCGCGTTCTTGGTCCCTAAGAACTCGACTGGGAGGCGTCCCAAGTGGGGTCTGTGGCGGTCCCGCTCCCTTGAGGCCCCACGGGCTTTGTTTGACTTGCGGGTCCTGCTTCGGGTCTCCGTGCGCTCTCCAGAGCCGGTGTCCCTGGCGCAACGGGATGGACGAGTTTTGTTATTTTTAAAAACAGAAGACTTAGTAGGACAGCCTGCGGACACCTGGAGCTGAGGTGCCCGCTCCCCTGCGCCCCCGCCCCAGCAGTCGTCCTGCCTTTCTGCTCGTCTCTGGGGGCAGCCTAGGGCCAGGCGGGGATGGAGAAGCTGGGGCGAGACGCGGCGGCGGAATGACCGAGAGTAACCCCGGCGGGCGGCGCAGCGCTGGCAGCTC